CTCTTTCTCTCTCTCTCTTTCTTTCTCTTTCATTCCTCTTTCTGCTTCACCATCAGCATGCGCACTTGTGTAATAAGCTGGCTGCTACCTCCAGGGATGGAAGGCAGGAAGATCTAGAACTGCAGTAAGTGGGAAAGTATGATTTTTCTCCCAAAGCAGAAACATCCATTGCCTACTCTTTCTGCATACTGAAACCATAAAGAGATTATAGTAAGCTCTTTAATTCTGCAGATTTCCCAGACAGAGAGGATGGCAGGAGGATACTGCTCTAGCTACCCTCAGAAACAAAATAATGAACCAGGGCTCACTTTCAAGAGACCAGCTTGAAAATCCCAGGCTGCTTCTGAAGTGCTGTCCTTGGGGGAAAAAACCACCTCATTTACCAGCAGACTGGACAGCTGATTGAGAGCATCCCAGACTTAAACACAGGAACACCAAGAAAGCACTCGCACACCAGCTCCCCAGTGTGACCCCATGCCAGTACTGGGCTGCACTCCAGTATGATTGGTAGGATGGCAGGAAAGAGGGTTTCTCCAAAGATTCTAGCTTCCATCCAGAAACACCTCCTGTTATGAGGTGATGTCCACGCAGGACCAAAAATCATAAATAGTGCTTGTGATCTGCTGAATAAGGCACCTCCTGCAGAAGGATGTTATAGTGAGACAGCAGGCAAGTGCTTGCTCACTCCAAAAGTCTTCTCCAGTGAATTAAAATTTTAAAAAAGGGCAGATTATCTATTTATTACTACAACCCATGATAGTGTTGTGCTCAAAGGCTGTGAATAAGAGCAGAGTCCTGTTTTGCTTGCTAGTGTAGCCACATCAAGGTAGACTCAGTCTCCTCAGAGAGAAGGCGACAGGCCACTGGACTTTTTAGAAAAGGGGTGACGTATTTTATGTTTCCTCTACACTTTGTAGGCAAAATCTGATGCTCTTCAGGGCACCAAGTTACTTTTCCCTCCCTTGCAACAATCCCTGAAGTAACTCACTAAGCTCCTACCTTATTTCTGAGCACCACAGAAACATTCACTATGGGGGGATGTCCTAAGGGGAATCACAAATTTTATTTGCAAACTGCAGGAGCTCCAAACTGCAGCTCTCCAAGGGCTGGGGCCCCACGTCCCCTCTCACCAGCTGGCTGGATGCGCTGTACTCGTTGGCTTCATTCAGGTGGCACTGGCCGTCATGGGGCTGCACCAGCCCCCCCAGCTTCCCATCCAAGGCTATGTGGGGCACGTCATCTGTTGTGAAGACCAGCAGGTGAGATGCCTCCTTGCGCCAGCCAATCTTCTCCTGGGGGAAAACAAACCTGTGAGAAAGTCGGTCTGCTCCTGCCAAGCCCACGCTTTGCCTCTTGCCCTGCACAGGGCCCCAGCCATGCTCCTGTCCAGCAGCAGGCTCGTTAGCACTAATTAGAAGAACACCATGCTCCTGTCCATCCATCACTGGTCGAGAAAAAAAAAAAAGAAAAAGACAGGGGTCCACCTTGCATTTCCCAATATCTCCTTCCAACGCACTTACTTAAAAAGGCATGAGGAGGTATGTGGACTGTCCACCAGACCTTCTCTACCCAGATCCAAGAATAAGAGTTTCAGTCGCTTTTATAGCCAAAGGAGACCTGCCAAATTCCTCCACACACATTTAATTTGACCTTGTTTCCTCAGCTCTGCAGAGTGGGCAAGGCAACAGCGAGAGCTGCAATATCCCCGCTCAGCAGTTTCATTACCACCCGCTCGTAAAGGCTGTTTCTGAGCTGTGACACACAGTGAGGTCCCTGCCCGAGGGAGGTGGCTTTGCTGCACCCATGTGCATGCACAGGCACTCTGTGCAAGGAGCACACATCATCACCGTCTTTGCACGGAGAGTGATTCAGGGATAGATTTCTTTTCCAAATAAAGGGATAACATTTAGTAGACAAATGTTTCCCTCCCACGGAGCTTCCCCAGGTTTCCAGGTCTGCATTGGCCCAAGAAGCAAAAACGTGCCTACAACAGCACACAGAAGCTTTCTGTTGCAATGGAAGTGGAGGGAAACAGAGAAGCCCAAAGGAAACTTTTGGAAGCTATAGTGCTGCAGTACATGTTCCCCTGCGCTCGCTGGCTGCTCCCACTGCCAGCTCATGCCAAGCTGGGCAGGCTGAGGTCCCGGCTGCCAGCACCAGCAGGGAGATCTTGTCGTGACAGAGACCAGAGCCAGAAAGCCCCATCTCCCAGAGCGTCCCCTTGGGCTGCCACCCTGCCCATCTGCCCCACATCTTCTCCCCACACACCGCCAGCATCCGCCTCCCTCCAGCCCCCAGCTCAGAGCAAAAAAGCTCAAATTCCCTGGGAAGGGATGAGGAAAAATCTGTTAAAAACTTACTGATGGGGATGCAGTGCAGATAAATATACACAACTCCTCCAGAGACTACTGCTCAGCTTATTTAGCAGAACCTGACATCAACTTCTTTTACATTAACATGCTGCCTTCTGAACTGCTTCAGCCTGGCTGCAAACACGATCCCTACGGAAAGGGCTGGCATGGGCAGGGCAAGAGGGCAGAGCAGGCAGAAGGATGCGGAATCACGGCCGCCAGAGCAATTTTCGCCTGCAAATGTGAGTCATAGCCCAGAGCCAGTTGATCTTTCTGATAAACATAACTCTTGCTTCAGGGACATTATTCCAGGGTAGATTTCTTTTTCCTCCCTGTTTCATAAGGTATTTTTTCTTTAACAGCATTTTAAAAAATGCACACAAATAAGGCCACACGAAGAAATTTTTGGCAACGCACATCCTTTGCATTTACCAGCACATTACTGTCCAGTTCAGTATGAAATTAGGACTTCGACTCTGGGAAGCAGAAGTCATTCCACTGAAGTGACCACACTGGACAAAAGGCAAAATCCTCATGCCAAAATGTAATTTCTTAAGAACTCAACCCAAAAGTGATTATAGCTCTAACAGTGCAAGAAGCAGTTGTTGGTCTATTCAGTCACCAGACAGAAGCCTGTCCAGTTCATTTTAATTTGTGTATCCAAAACCGATTTCTTTTCTTTTTAAATAACTGAGGCCAAGAAACTCCCAAAGAGATTAAAAGGATTAATTTGAGTTTCATTTCCTTAGAAATGTGGTACACAGACAGAAAATGAGCTGCATTCAAGCAGCAGTCATGAAGCCACTTCAGGGATGTGGCTGCTGCTCACCTGCCCGCTAAGCTCACCTTTCAATCACAGGCCAAGCATCCCCTCTGACACACATTTTCCCATGTAAAAAACATCAGAAACACTTTGGTTGCTCAGCTCAGGAACTCACTTCCCAAAAGCAACTAGCACCCACAATTTCAGTGCCAATATCCAGGTGCTGACAGTGTTTGATGCCTTGGAGCATCAGATGAGGGTGTCTCAGGTGGGATCGTAAAGCTGGTCCCAATGTCACACATAGCTGGAGACCTATGGAAAAACCAGCCGGAGAGGCTGGCACGCTGAGGAGCCGCCGCATCTCACACTGCCTCTGCCAGCGGCTTCCAGGCGCTGGAAAATCCAGCTCTTCAGCACACAGTTTCCACCGCGAAACCCAGAGCAGCACTCTGCTGTGTTTAAAACAAATAACCAAAGAGACTTTCATTTATTTTTACTGGACCAGGGTTGTTGAACAAAAAAATTCCTGCACTTACATCTGCCACTTCATCTGGTTTTTGATCCTCGTGGGATATAAAGGATTTTGAAAGCAGAGGTGGGACCTGACCCAAACAGAGTGAAGTGAGAAGACATGTCTCTGCAGGGCTGGGCACGCTGCAGAGCCTGCCTCTACTCCTACGACGAGCTGCAGTTGCTTCCCATACCCCAAAAGACCAGCTTCTCCCTCCTTACAGCCAATGGTGACAGGCAAAACTGCCACTGGGTTGTCTCAGCCCAGCCCAGTCCTCCAAATCCTACTGAAAAGGCTGCAACACCCTGCCTCAGTATTGCCAAGCCTGAAATAAATATCTAAATTTATGCTTTGGGCATTGAATAAAAAAAGGGTTCAATTGCCAAGACATCAACTGCCAGGAGACCCCCCCAAGATTCATCAGTATGTCTAAACCCCACCAGATTCTCAGATGCAGACCTTTTTGGAAGCAAGAAACAGATACAAGTGCAAGTCAAGTATGCCTTAGAGATTAAAAGCCAAAACCTGCTTTGTTTAGCGTAGCTCTGAAAGACAACTCAGTGACTCCCAGATGACTTGGACATCTCCACGTAGCAGTGTCTAGCAAGCACCAATTGAAACTATTTCCAAAGACACTTTTTTTCTACTCCAGCATTATCTCCTTGCTGCATCTTAGTGCATAAGATCTGAAACTTATATATACCACCAGGCCATATGATGCTTGCACTTAAAGAATGGCAGGAAACCAAAACACTGCAAATGGAAAATGCAATTACAGAAGGTTGATTAATATTCCTGGCTTACCATTTTAGCATCAGGATAAAGGCTTATTGTCTCTGGCTCTTTCATTGCCTCCAGAATAACATTTACCATATCTTCATCTTTCAGAAAGGAGCCAAACCATGGGCCTCCTCATTAGTCTTCTATTAGCTGTACAAAACTCCCCCACTCCTTGGGCTGAAAACCAGGCCAAAAAATGACTTGAGCGTTACAGAGCTCTTAGCTCATGCAGAAGAAATGCTTGATATGAATTACAGAATGAAAATACCTGGTCAACAGAGTAGGTATTGTTTCTGACACCTCCATGCTTGGAGGAGAGGAAAAGACCACACTTGGACACCGTGGCCTGGAAACAGCAAGTTTCTGCCATGCCATGACCGGCTCTCCCCAGGATGTCCTCCTCGATGCCACAAACTCTGTTGCTGAGTACAAAGTACTTCATGGTCAACATGCTGCATCGCCCCCAAGGCAGGTGACTTTCTAAGGTCATAACTACCCTAAACCTTGGTTTTTTAATATGATAGGAAGGATGAAAGCTGGAAAAAGCTGGAACATTCCACAATGGGGCACCACAGTAGTAATGAGGAAGCCCACCTCACAAGTCACCAAGGTATCTCTATGCTGCTCTCCCTGCACTGGGAGAAACAGTTCTGGCATTACTAGAACCTACTTTCTGCGCAGAGTTTAGTCCCCACAACGCTTCATCAGTCACTGTGAGTGCAAAGCGCCATTCGTTACAGCAACAAGCATCCTCCTCAGGGAGCAGCACTTCAATGGCACCCCACGATGTCTGCTACCTTCACCCACCTCGATGGCACTAGGCTCCATCACAACCTGCTGCCTCTGACTGACCTGGGCCACCACTTGGCCACCGTAAGGAAAACTAATCACTAAGCTCCCGTTTTGGCTTAGGAGGGGAATCAGCTGGTCCAAAATTTCGGCTATTCTAAGTCTGGATGGGCAGAGTCTTTGGTGCTCATGCCTGTGACCAGCAGGGAGCTGCTCCACCCACAGCAAGGGCTGCCAAGGCAGCGCAAGTTACGGCACAGCCGGTTCTCCTGCCTCATACATTGGTCCCACAAACTTTCTTTCCCACACTCAAGCTCCGGTAATTAATTACCCCCCACAGCTGCAGACATTCCTCTGTCATGACCTGCCACATCATGCCAAGAGCCACACTAGTGCACATGCTCACCTCTGCTCACCCTTCCTAGAAGATGCTCAGTCTTGGATTTAGATGGTGCCAGTATCTAAATTCATCTTCTGAATTTAGAAGGCATCAATCAGGCTGTTCACTTCACAATGACAGTCAAAAATTTTTTTCCTTACTAACAGTTTGAGACTGGCAGACACATGCAGAAAATATCTTGCAGGTCTCCTGCTTTCCACCAGCACCTCCAGAATGAGCCTCCGTGATGCACACCGCAGGGAAATGTTTTCCCTTTTTTTCCAAAATGTGGTGGAAGGGATTGCAAAAAAACCACACAGTGGGTGGCACAACTGAGTCACCACCTTGAGATGTCTCTGCTTCACCATGACAGCCACCTGTCCAAAACTGAGAAGCACTTTATGCCCTGGTGATAATTGGGAGCATCGCTGTAGTTATGCCAACCACAACATCTATGCCAGGCTGGGAGAGGGAAGATGACTGCTGGGTGGCATTAGATCCAACAGGGCAGGTTCAGTCCTGCCAACAGCATGAACCATAAGTGAAGCCAACCTAAGCAAGGGAAGAGCTGGTTTCTCACAAGCCTGCATCCTATCACTGCGGCACAACTGGCTTCCAAAATCCAGACCCAGAAGAACTCAACCAAAAAGACTACTCAATACTGCAGAAAACAAATGCCTGTATGTCATGAGGGAAAAAAGCAACTAGAGATGTCCCTGGCAAGAAGGGAAGCTCAGCCAAATGGTGAGGAGAAGCAAACATTTTCAGCCCTGATGCACAAAGGGATACTGAGCAGCCCACCCACTTCTTCCAGAAAGACCTTCTAGAAAACATCTCCAAAATCCCTAAGGGTATGGCTAACATGGCACCAAGCTAATGAACTCTGTCTTAAATTACTGCTAACAGCTCTAGTTTTGCTGACAAAGAGGGGGAGCAGGCTATCAGCACCTGGAGGTGGGATCATCCAGCCGCAGACACAAAGGGGGAAGGTATGAGCAGTAGGAACCAGCTCCAATTCTCAGCATGGGTCAGCTGCCGCAAGATGTGTTTGACACACCCTTAACAAACGCATTGAGCCAATGCACGGCGCTGCTGCACACAACCCAACGTGAATCTTAAGGGATCAGCACCTACAAGTCTAACTGTGTGATGAAATCTCAGCTCTAAATTTGCATTTGCAAAATCTCTTCTATTACCCCCTTAAACTAGAAAAAATACTAACTTTTTATCTTTGGCTGTACAAAAGCATATGAAAACAATAGCCTCTGCATTTCAAGGCATTTTTCATGGTTTTCTGCAAGAAAGGTTTAGTAGTTACTTCCACGAAATGGCACATTGAAGCTCTAACCTGGTCCAAGAACAGAACAGAAGAAATCTCCTCCTCTTTTGCTTCGCTTCAAAACCCCAGAAATCAGAGCGACTCACCTTGCACACAGCTGCCTGCAAAATCGCATCGAACCCCCCCTCTGGAGCATCGCGGTTACGAGAAACCTTCTGTTTCTGAACTTCTTCGTTGAAGCGGTCGACTTTATCCGTTAGGGACAAGAGATGGCGGAAGCCAAAGGATGGGACGCAGCTGGGGAACAGCTTGTAACTGCAGGAGGAACAGAGGAGTGGTCAGCTAGGAGGAACCACACCAGCAGCCAAGAGCTGCAGAAGCTCCCAGCTCTACCAGGTTGATGTCCAAACTTCTGTTCGGATGTTGAAATACTTTCACAAGGCTTCATGTTTTGGGCACTTTGATTGCTGGCTATTTATCTACAAAACCCTATAGCAGAGCAGGGTTTTGTTGTGGTGTTGGGTTTTTTTTGTTTCTCCCCAAGGACTTTGAGAAGCTGAAGTTTCCAGAGATCTCAGCAGGTCTGAACATCTCTCTCCATGTAAAGTGTGAGTGCAGACGCCAAGCACCAGCTCACCCTGGACTATGCAGCTCTGCCATTTCAGCATCCATAAAGCTGTTTTCACACTGGGAATCCACAGTGCCGGATGCGACCTGTTGTGACGCAGAGGGTGCATTTTGGCAGAATCACCCTCCCCAGAACCCTGGGAGAGCAGTGCGAGCCATGCCCCAGGCCTGCAGAACCAGTGCGTTGCCAAGAGCTACTTTTCCTCTATTTTTCAACATGCATTTTCACTGTCATCCAGTTTTCTTGGCAGTATGTGCCACCCTGCACCCACTGCACGTCACTGGGCACCTGGCAGTCGCCCAACACGAGTTGCCTTAATAACTAACACATACTCATGCACCCTCCCACTCTCCCTGCAAGCCAGTGAGCAAACACCATCTCTGCTTTCCAGAGCTCCAGTGGAGTAGAAAGGTAGGAGTGGCACCCTAAGGCAGAAAAGCGTCTCGGCAGGCTACCAGGAAAACTTCTTTTTCTGTACAAAACTACCAGGAGGAAGCTTTGGTGCTCACCATGTGGCCGGGAGAGCTCAGCTCCTGCAGTGTGGGAAATCATGGGTGTGTGCAGGGGAGAGGGACAAGAAGGGTTAAGAAGAAAATGTGCTTAAAAGGGAGTTGGGCTGGCACTAATTCACTCTTATCTTCAAACATAAAACCTGGAGAACAATTAAAGGCCTCTGTTGACACATGACCCACTATGGGTAAGTTGTAAGAGGCTTTTTACACAAAGGAGTATTTAAAATTTACCACCGCTGGGAACTCAAATCCCTCACAAGGGACCCCAGAGCAGGGATTTCCACTCACACAGCTACGCACACACCTGATCGTGAGGCAGGTCCCACTGCTGTGTGCCCAGCTGGCACTTAGAACCATCCCTTGTGATCAGCCCCATGTTCAGACTCGCATCCCACTCACACCTAGGACCGAGGTGAGGAGATGGTGATGTCTGAACCCTCTGCACCATAGGGCATCAGCCAGCATCCCCTAACCCCTACAACACATCAGGGTGCTCAGTTTGTCAGAGCCCTGGTGCACAGAGAAAACAGTGACAGACTGTATGGTCCCACCTCCCACGAAGATGTATAATTTAATCCTTTTTCATTTATTTTACACTCCAGGTTTGCCGGCAGAAGCTGCAGGCAGCAGTAGGACAGACGGTGGATACCTGAGTGACTACACAAGAGCACAGAGCAGTTTGGGTTTGTTATCTCAAGTCATATCACAGAGAGATGGGTAATTAGGTGTTCAGTTAAATCCCCTGCCTTCCTTATCTTCTTAAATTTACTGTTTATTTCCTTCATTCTATCTCTTTTGAATGACACCATGGCTGTGAGAGGCCACATACTGGCTCCCCAGGAGGTACCAGCCCGAATGCTGAGCCAGGAGCCAGCGTGAGCAGCGAGCTGGGGTGAGAAGGAGGAGGCACAAGGAATCCCAGCCAGACCCCACATGAAAACAGGGCTGCAACCCACCCAGATCTGCAGCACAGCCGTCACTGTGAGGAGGAGCGGGAAGAGAGAGCCTGGACGGGGGGCAAAAAACACCCACAGCAACTCATGTTTACCTGCAGCTTTTCTTAGATGTGAGCAGGCCACTGGACAAAGTCTGTGACACCAGATGTAGCTGCAAGTAAAACCACACCCGACAACCCACCTCACTGCCACATCAGTGAAACACTTGGCAGCAGCAACAGCTGCTCACAGAGAACAATAGGGAGCCAGCAACCCTGGTTTGGATGAAGAGAAGACAGATAGCAACTGGAAGGGAGTGCCCACCAGATGAGCTGCCTTGGGCAATCCATACATGGTTTTGCAAGATCAGGCTGGCTTAACATAACCCATAAATGCAAAAGCAACCACCCAGGTAAAACCAAAAGGGCATGTAGATATCCTGAACATGGTGGGAAAAGTCAGGGTGACAGCTCTGGATGCCCTTGATGAAAGGGCATTGGCAGTTTCAGGCATGCCTTGCTGCAGGGTCATCCAGCTCCATCCTCTCCTACTCCTCTGCTCCTACACATTTCACTCAGCAAAAGCCACGTCACCTCAATTAAATCACACAAACAAAGTTTCTGAGATTTCACCAGCTGGAATGAAACCCTATGCCCAGCCCACAAGCAACATGAGCGGGTGATGGAAACTGAGGACAACTGCGGTGACTGAGAGCATCCCTCTGAGGCCATGCCAGATTTCTGGGTGAAAGAGCTATGAAAAGCATTGTGTACGGTGCCGAGGTGGCAGAGTCACCTCCCCTGCTCAGTCAATGTGGTCACTTTTGGCTATGCTTCATGGCCAAAGCACAACTTTTCAGGGTTAAAATCCATTTGACTTTCCTCTCTGGACAGAACTAGTGAGAAGAGAATACAGACAGTTTTGTCTGGTCAACGGTCAATGAGCAACAAGATGCCAAATGCTTGGCCAATGCCAACAGTTGGTCTAGAAACACAGTTGATGCAAACTCTGTTTAATCTTCAAAAACTTGAAATATGCATGCTCTTGCAGTCAATTTACAACACAAGTATCCACAAACGGCTCAAATAAAGGTGCTAACCTTACTGCCCTTACATGACTAGAAAGCACTCCAGCCATGGATGAGGTGAAGATGGGGACCACAAAGGTAAGTGTCAATGGTGACATTCTCCCAGGAGGGCACTTGCTACTGAGCTATCCAAACCCATCTCGGCCTGGACATCCTCCACTAAACCCAATTTTGTTCTTGCATAATCCCCAATTCAATGGACTTGATCCTAACTCCAGCAGCTAAAAGGCAAACAAAGAGACTCGCAGAGACACTGACAAGCAACAAAAAAAAAAAAGAGGAAGACTGTGATATCACTGCAAAGCAAACCACAGCATCTGTGTCTTTTGCAACTGCCAGTTTGCTTTCCTTCCGTAACAACAAAGATGAAAAAAAACTATATGACGTCTTCAAAACACTTTGCAAGAACTCATTAATCACTACTATAGGCCAACACAAATCTCACTTCCCCCAACCGCTTCTGTTGGGAAGGACTTATATTGCCTTGGCCTCCTTATCTGTAAAATGGTAACAAAGGACTTAACTGATTTACGAAAGACCAAACTATGACTCAGAGCTAGGATCAGAAACGAGGAATTTCTGACTCTTGCTCCTTTTACTTAGAGCCTGTAAAAAAGTCTGTTATGCTTACATCCTCTTCAGGTACTTGAAAATAGTTTCAGGTTCCTGCTAGCAAACTTTCCCATCTCTGTGTGCAGAGACCTCCCAACAGCCAGTGCAAAATTGGAAGCTGTCCTGTTTTGAATTGCTCTTGAGCATCACAGTGACAGCCAGGGCTCATCAGCATTCCCAAAAGCTGGGGCTTAAGTGCAGTTCATTATTTAAAGAGAGAATGGGAAAAGAAGACTGCAGCCAGATGCTGTGCAAACACAGGGCCTGTCCCTTCAGGGTACACCAACTACTTACCCAATGCAGGGATTGTTTTGGTATCTTGGAGCCGTGTAGGAGAAAGGAGAAATGTTTTTGTCCACAAAAGAGCCAAACCCCAGCCGGAAATTGCTGGTGAGCTTTCGCATCTCTTCAGCCAGCTTGGTCCCCAGATTGCGAATATTATCTAGGTCGTCGTTCATGGACAGGGAGAGATCCATCAGGTAGTAGAGATCGACAGGATAGTCCTCCACTTGCCGAACCTGAACTCGGAAGGAGGTCTGGTCACCTGCACACACACAAGAGTTGAGAGCAGTGAAAAGGAAATTCCTAGCACACATGAAATCCACACCACATGCTTTTTTTTTCTTTTTCCCCTGCCGAGCAGACAGATCACTTGCAAAAGAGGGTGAAGGGAATAAACTTTTCCAAATCAATCCCTTAGGAGACTAAGAGGAAAGCTGGTAAGGACTTTGAGTCCTCTTAAGCTATGCAGTGTACTGGCTGGCAAGAAAAAGACTCATCCAGAGAGTGCACGTCTCTGGTTTACTTTAAAGATATGGGAAAGGGTCTTTCCATCTCAGCTGAGAGAACATCTAAGGGGAGACACACGAAAAATGCTGCTGCCCTGGTCTGTGTACAGTCCAGGGGTGTCTTCCTAGAAAACTGGAAAGAAAAGCAAGCAGAGTGAACCACAAATGGATGTTTCATGGACTACTGAAAGAGGGACCATGCACACGCTTACTTGGGTACGTCCTCAAAGCAAACCAGGAGCAGTCCAAGAAGTCCTGCACAAAAGAGAGAAGGAGGTGGAGCAGGAGAAAGAAGAGGGTCAGGAGGAAACAGCCAGCATGAGATGAGTGCAAGATGTCCCTTGAGCTGTGCAGGGATCAAAGCAGACACAGAAGAAACACCTTTGAAAAGGACCTCTCCCCTCAAAAACAGCTGTGCCACCGTGAGTCTGGAGAAAGCAGGGCAAAAGGGAAGTGAACTGGAAAAAGAAGGTTGTTAGGATCACCTGAGGAAGCACCAAGGCAGAGATGAAGCTTCCTGAAGTGATGAACACAAGGGAAGGAGATGACAGGCTGTGCAAATATGAAGAAGAGCAGAGGAAAGCCTTCCCCCTGACCTTTTCCCCTTTGCCAACCCAGTTTCATCAGAGATGCCCTCCAGAAGGGGTGACAGAAGGGGAGGCTACCACTGGCACCGCCCAAGCCTTGAAAAAGGTGAAGTGAAGCTTCAGTGCAAACTCAGCTTCATACCAGACAGGCCTCGGTGGAGCCAGAGAGGAGGTGGCAAATGTTTGCCTCACTGCTTTATTGAGCAGTCTAAATGGAAACTCCAGACTCCAGCACCCTCAAACCTCAAATTGGTTGGCCCATCCCACATCCCCAGTTGCCACTTCAGCCCTTTTTCCATCTCAGTGACATCTCAGACCCAGTGACTCGTATCCTCTCAAGACCAAACTCCCCCTCCTGCCCATCCCTCCCAGCTCTTCCTGACCGAAGCTGAACTTCAGAGCACTGCTAGGTTCTGCAAACACACACGTGGCTTCCCCTCTTTTTCCCCAGAAATGAAACGCACATTTTTTTAGTATTGTGAAAACATTTCCCTAACCCGTTTTATTGTTCTCCTGACTGTGTGCAGCAGCACAGCTGCTGCCACTTACTTCCAGCCCAACAACACGCAGCAGCAGTAGCAGCAACATCGCAAACCTGCCATGCTGGCAAGACAGGGCACGAGGGATTTTGTAGCCAGGCAGGAGCCCTGCGTGGCACCTGGGGTCATGCTGCGCTGAGCCCCATGTGGGGCCAAATAACCTCCCTGGCTCCAAGATCTGCTTTGTAGGAATTCCTGCAGCTTTCCCTGTGTGCAGGCCTGTCCAGCAGCTGCTTTGGCCCAGCAGCATCCACCCGCTTGGCAAAGGAGCTGGTCATACAGTCAGCAAAGCTATTCAGGTGGTTTAGGTGAGTCTGACACTGTACCTGGCGCAAAATTTGCGGGTGAACAAAGGAGAACATCATTTATATATGTTGTGGGTTAGGGCTGGGCCAGCCACTACACATGAGCAGATGGTCTTTAACCCCCTCTCCCTCCCCAAACAAGAAGGAAAAGGGAATGAAGCAGAGAGGCTTATGGATTGGAAAAAAAAGAAAAATTAAAACAGCTTTAATGAATAAGGATATACTAAAAATAGTGAACTATATATATATATATACAAATCTGATATCAAACCCGACTCTCCCCCTCCCTGATAGCAGGCAGCAATCCCCACTGATGCTGCAGAGCAGGCAGCACCGGGGAAGTCCCAGGCTCAGCAGCAGAGGGGAGCTTGGGTACAGCAGTCGGATTCAGGAATTCAGGATCAGAGACAGAAGATCAGACAGAGTCCTCCTGGGATGCCAGCCATTGCAGAAGAGAAGAAAGCACTACATCCTCTCAATCCCTCAGCTTTATACTGAATATGACGTATATGGAATGGAATACTCTTGTTTGTCACTTGTCCTGTCTGTAACTCCCTGGAGGTGCAACCTTTTACTTCCTTGTGACCCCTCTTACTCCCCCGGCACCCCCAGCGTGACACACAAGAGCCAGCAGGGCCCTTGGTCACTACAGGAATGAGTATCAGCAAGAGCCTGTCTGCATCCCAGTCCCAGGCAGTAACTGCAAACACCAGGTGTTCTCACTGCTGGTAGCAGGCACTGTCTGCAAAAACACGCTGCTGACTTCAGAACGGGCAGCCTCTTAGAACAGACTGAGCTGAGAAGCAAAAATCACTGAACAGAGCTGGTTCTATTTAGCTCAAATCAGGACAATACAGTGCAAAACCTGTTAGCACTGACTGCAGGGTAACAAACTGTCACTGCAAGCTTGACTTTAATTCAGTGCTGCAAGAATGCATTTAACTCTGGGAAAATTCATTCTCATGACTATTTTTTTTTTTTCATTCCTGCATATTTTTCCCACTGGAATACCGAGCTCTTTCAGAAGAAGAAGATGTGTCCTTCTGCATTTCCAAACATTTCCATTTCCAAAATACTGGTCTTCCGGAACACATCCTAAGATGGAAATGCCAGAGCCAGAAAAAGTATTTGGGATACTCTGATCAAAGGTTCGTCTCTTTCTTAATAGTTCCAAATTTATTAGTCCCTGAGAAGCACCAAAAATAAGGCCTGGTTCCTTTTTCACTCCTAATTGCACAAATCAATTATCTCAGATAAATATTGCTAATGTATATAGATCTAAGTGCAAAAGAATTTACTGGTCTCTGTGCACAGTATTACTCTCACACTTCCAGGGATAATCCAGCCCCCTCCCTCCTCACATACCATCACCACCATCCTCTCCTCTCTAGGGCTTTTACTAAAAAGTTTTAAAACTGAATTCAGAAATGTTTCTTGGATGGTGTCACACAGAAAGTGCAGAAACTGGAAAAAATGCTTTTGGCCAATTTAAGAACACAAACTCAACAAACACGCTTATTCAAGAAAAACTCTTTTTTCTGTGTGGTGAGGTTTACGGCTTGAAGGGCAACACAACTTGCATCTATTAATTTTTAATTCCCTTTACACCATTCATATTTTTCACTTAACCATGACATATTGCTTTATAGCTGGACCCAAAATTAAAAAGCACTATTATAAAAACTAAATGCTTGATCTGAAAGCTACCCTGTAAGGACATCAATTTGGAAATTAGCTGTGGAATTAACAGAGATCTGAGGATGTGATTTCTGCCACGGGACGATTAGATCAAACTGCCTGGGTGGGAATAGCAAACAATTGACAATTCGCTCCCTTCTGCTTCTGCTTAGTGGTCTAAGAATAAAGGATCACCGCTGCCACAGATCGCCGTGTGAATTCATCTTTGAAATAGTACACCCTTCACGCCCTAAATTAAATCAACATTGTCTCCTTTTTGTCTTGGGTTCACAGGGTGAAACCCATTCTCAAGCTCAAGGATTAATGGGTAATTTAAACAGGGGATGCTAATACAAGGGTTTAGGAAGTCATCAGACTTCAGATGGAGTGCTGCCCAACATTGTAAAGAGAGGAAATATGGGAGATACTGTTGCAAACATCTGGGTACATCTCTCCTCCTGCCATGACTGATGCTCTGCAAGAGGAGCATAGGGAGGGGAACTCATGGGCTCAGCATGGGAATCGCCACGGGGGCTCTCAGAGCAATTCCTGCAGCTCAGCTCAGACCTGGAGGGCCTCTCTGTCATCCAGAGGCAACTGAAGATGGCCACCAGCGAGGTCCCCTGCGACGGCTGACAGGAACAGCACACCAGCCCAAAGCATCTCACAGCGCAGACACCGGCAAGACGCATGGAGACGGAGCCCCATGTGCTGCCGCAGAGCGGGCATCCGCACCTCCAGCTGGGAAAACCACCGGGAATTTGGAAAAGGAAATGATAGAATGGTTAAGGTTGGAAGGGACCTTGAAGATCACCTAGTTCCAACCTCTCTGCTGTGGGCAGGGACACCCCTCTCCCACTAGACCAGGCTGCACAAAGCCCCATCCAACCTGGCCTTGAACACCTCCAGGAACCAGGGAAGCCGCAACTTCTCTGGGAAACCTGTTCCTGTGCTTCACCATCAAGGCGAAGAATTTCCTCCTAATATCTAATCTAAATCTACCTTCTTTCAGTTTCAGGCCATTGCCCCTTGTCCTATCACTACAGTCCCTCGTAAAAAGTTCTCCAGCCTTTCTGTAGGCCCCCTTCATGTAGTGGAAGGAAATCATTAGGTCACCCCAGAGCCTTCTCTTCTCTTCTCTACGCTGAATAACTCCAGCTCCCTCAACTTGTTTCACAGCAGAGGTGCTCCAGCCCTCTAATCATATTCGTGGCCCTCCTCTGGACATGCTCCAGCAGATCCATGTCTTTTTTTGTACTGTGGGCTCTAGAATTGAACACAATACTCCAGATGGGGCCTCACCAGAGCAGAGTAGAGGGGGAGAATCACCTCCCTCAACCTGCTGGTCACTCCCCTTTTGACGCAGCCCAGGACACGGTTCTCTTTTTGTGCTGCAAGTGCACACTGCCAGCTCGTATTGAGCCCCTCATTGACTAACATGCCCAAGCCCTTCTCCTGAGGGCTGCTTCCAATGTGCTGAGCACAAGGCACTGCTCATGAAGGTGCACCTGCAGGAGGAGAGATGTGGAAGCTGAGCCAGCCCTTTCTGCCAAGAATTGCTGCAAGAAACAGGAGCAACAACAACTCCCTTTTTATTATGGAAGCAAATCTGTTTCATCAGCAACATTCAGCTGCAGAAGCCATGTGTCTACCCATACAACCAGTGCTGACCGCCCTCAGGTATCTGCTTTTAAGACTTTGAAGAAAAATTTGTTTACACCTGAGAGTCTGACTGATGACAAGTCACACTGCTGAGGAAGAGTTAAATAAGAGAAATTATGACTGTTCAATCCATAGAATCAAAACAAAAAATTCTGCAGCAAGTGGTAGGCTCTGGGAGAGCACTGGTAGCATGGACATCAGCTCAAATTCCTGTTTTTCTTGGGCAAAACATCATATTTCATTTTTCTGTAAGCTCATGAGAGCTGTCACAAAACTGTAAGCCTTAGAAACCCACACCAACTGCTTATAATGAATCAAGCTTTTATATTTGCTTCCTAACTTTGCAATAAAGAGCTTTTTTCTACCCCTTCAAAAATATCAGCTGCCGAATTTTTGCAAGAATTCTGAACCCACATTAAAGCCTCCCCGCACCATGCAATAACTTTTGATAACAAGCATGCTCATATGGCTCAGTCCAGCCATTCCCTTCTAATTTTAATTAAAAGGAAGACATTGAGGAAAAGTGATGGCTCAGGGGAACGAAACAGGCATCTGGCTACAACCCAAGGCCTGAGTCACAAGTTCAAATCTCCGTCTTCTGCCTTGATCCCATGGCTCTTTTGCATACCGAGAGAAAACAGATATGTGGTTTTGTTTCCGATTTATAGAAGGAGCTGTCTCAGTTTAGTCAAGCACTGTCAGCTTGGTGGAGGATCCCAAGTAATTTAACTCCTTCCACACAAGCGATTACGTTTTTAAGCTGAGCAGGGTCCTTTTAAACACATGCAAGAGTTAAAAACTAGTATAGATAACAGCTGTGAGTGGGCTTTGATAACTGCAGCGTCCTCCCATGGAAAACATACACCTCAGCCTCAAACCTGTTCATGATGCAGCACCAAGGTTCACAGGCTGTGGAAGGGGCCAGCAGCCACCTGCTTTAGTGGGCTACAAGGTCATGAGCTCTGCTGTCAGCTCGTCCTGGTCACTCTTTCTCACCCACATCCCAGCATACAGTTCACCACCTTCAGGGACTCACCGGGACGAAGATTCAAGGCGACCTTCTGAGGCATGATCTGCGTGACGTCCAGGTGGGTCTGGCTGGAGCCCTTGCTGCTCAAAGGGACATTCTTCACCACGCTGATGCTGCTGCTGGGGTTTTCGGTGGCCCCAGCACAACCATTTGCAATCAGGTTCTGCAGGAAGTCACACCGTGACGTGATGGACTTTGTGCTGCCGAACTCCTGGGGGGTGAAAAACGAAGAAAAGGAAAGAGGAGGGAGAAACATCAATCCCACAGCAGGGGCTTTGTTGCCACATGCTGATATGTGTAGCAAACAGGGGATGACAAGGAGACGCTGGTGTCATTTGTGGTGGCTGTACTCAAAAGCGCTAAACCTTGAGCCATTCAAATGGATCTAACAAAACAGAAACCCTCCAAGGATTTGAAAACTGAATGTGCTCATTGACCACTGCAGCAGAAAGCTAAGCTTGGGTTTTCATCCCAGCCAGAGCAGCAGCACTTGCTGCACATGAAAGGTGGTCAAAAGGCACTGGCAGCAGCTCTGTCCCTGAGGACAGGCTGCCATGGCAGGGAGTCTCCCAGCACCCATCCCCAGAGCTCCAGCCCTCGCTGTGTGCCCCGTGTCCGGCGCACAATGCAGCCTTGTGTGGCACTGCACTCAGGAACAGCCAGCTGCACAATGCAGCCTTTGCAAAGAGCCCATTTGTTAGAATGCCTTTCTTTTAGGGTTTGGTGGGGTTTTTTTTCCCCAAAAGTGCCAAAAGGAGCAAGCTGCATGCCCAAAACTTACTGGATTTTCAACAATTGATTCCTACTTATTTCTGCACTACAGCAACAGAGACAACTGTCTTCTGCTCCAGGGCTGATGGGACTAAAATGACATGAAATAATGCAGGGAAGATGCTCACAGCAACACCAGCCCCTCCTTCAGCTGCACAGCCAAAAACCAGTGTGGGGCTGAATAAACCTCAATCTTTGCTGAAGCTCCAGCATAGCAGAGGACAAGGGAGAGATATCAAGGGGGAAGAGTTCGTCTGACAGCTCTCTCTTTCGCACCCACAGGGTGCTCTGGGGGTCCCCTGAGGGCAGGTCGGATGTGGAGCCCCGGGACCCAGACAGAGGCTCTCTGCTGCATCTGCTCACTACAGGGTCCCAACGCTATTTGAAAAATGTGAGAGCTGCATTCCAACATCCAGCAGCAGAGTCCAGCCAAGGAGACAGCACGTCAGATGGATATGAACACAAATTTCTTGGAACGTGTCATGTAAACAGATTAACTTCCAGAAAGGAGGGCTGGGATTACTATTTAAATCATCTCCAGCATGACAAAATAAAAATCAGAATCTCTCACAAAACTGAAAACAATGCCTAAACTTTCAGAGCAGCACATTCAGGGCAGCCTTGGAGGAAAGTTTATCTCGGATATGGTTTGACCCAAAGTCACTGAAATGCTAGCAGAGTCCAGGTGCTCTCCTGAGCCTGTCCACTCACAGGGAGATGCTCTCCTGCTCTGGCACCTGGACCACGGCTCCAGGTGAGCACCTCTGCCAGCTCATTTCTGCTGCCACAAATTAGAAAGGACTCTGGCTGTACAAAAAACCATCACTAACAGCATCAGGAGTGCAGCCGGGGAACCTTCAGTTATTTCCCAGGAGTTAAGTATCCAAATAGGATGATATTTAGGGCTACTCGTGCAACTGCCGCTTTTATCATGCGTTTCCAATCCTCCTTGGGATCTGCTCCAAGGCCTCTTGATGTGAACAGAAAGACTCGACTTCAAAGGGCTTTGAACCAGGGCTTAATTTTCTGGCTGGGGATGGAATAGAAGAACAAGAGCCAGGAGGGGCAGGCAGCCCGGGGAGAGAAGGATGACGGCTTCCTCCCCCAGCTGCTACTCCTTAGCAGTTGAGCTCGTCACACCATGAGAGACAGCTCTGGGTATGGTACCATTTATACCGAAGTTCATCATCCCAGGAAGGGGTGTACATAAGAGCAGTACCCACACGCCAGGGAGCAGACAGCACTGGCACGCGAGGTGAGGAGCACACCCACATGGGACCTGCCAAGAGCTTTTCTGGGCATCTGTGTCTGTGCAAGCCTGCCTGTTCACACAGCAGCAAAAAACGGTTACTGCTGCAATGTGTTTTTGTGAAACCTCCGTGACAAAATTTCTCTAAAAGAAGCTCAGGAGGTGGGGGGAAAGCCCCTGCTCAACTCCTCCTGACAGAGGGTGCACAAAGCTCTGGGGTCAGCAGCACCTCTGCACACCTCTGGTCTTCAGGGCCCCCTTGCTCACTTAAATTTTCTTCTAAAACGGGCTCAGAGGACTTGCCACAGGGCAGCAATTGCTAAAGCTGCAGCTCCAATCAAACTCAAGCCTTTTCTTGTTCAGTGTAACACCACGCTATCCAGGGTGGAAGAAAATACCCCTGTCTCAGGGGTGCAAATGTCCCAAGTGAATGGGGTACTGCAGGGGTGCAGAACTGACCCCTGCTTCTGCTTAGGTTTCTAACCCAGGCAGGGTTACCCCAAGCAGGGGAGAGACAGTGGTGTCAGGAAAGCTCCAGCAATCACCCCAGAACCCTGCAAACACACACCCCTTGCAGGCACCTGTAGGTCAAAACCCAAAGCCAAAACTGGCTACCAGGGACCAATCGACATAAGCACAAAGTTTTCTGCAACAGAGGAAACTGAGGCTCACAGCGATTAAATGAAAGGAAAAAAAGGATGAGCAGACTTGAAGAGTAAACGGTATCGTGCAGGTCCAAATAATTCATGAGCAACTGTGCCAAAAGGCAGCCCCCCACCAGCTCAGATGTGGCACACCGGTTCAAATGCCCAAATATCTCAACATCTGCCTGCCTTTGGTGAGAAATGCAGCAGGTACCCCACAGCAAGCAGGAACTCCCCCCAAGCATCGGTTTGGGAAGATCCCACCTAGCGCTTGTTAGTGACACTGGCTGCTCGCAGCCCTGTGGGCACTTTGCAGTGGGGCCTCTGTGCTAACAAGCTCACAAAAGCAAATGCACACAAGCGGGCAGGGTGAATGGAGACAACAGTGTGACAATTACATGCTCATCAGTTTGACAGTTTTAAGACAAATTGCTTGGTTCATGCCATAAAAATGGAGAACAGCACTGACTAGATCTAACTGTCTGGATCTAACTGTCTGCATCTAACTCCTGACTGGACATGTCCCTATGATTTTTTTTTTGCTTTAATCCATCCAGTTCTGTATTAATTCAGTCTGGAATAAGCCGGCTTTCTCCATTAAAAAAACCTGACATGTTCCCTCCAGAAATATCTTTGATTTTCCTTCCTCATTCTCCAGACACACATTCCTAAGATTGGAGAGGATGGGATACAAGCAACCTGCTGGAAAAGATGGAGTGCCATTGGGAAAATTTTTGTTCAATTAATAAAAAAAAATCAGATTAATTAATTAATATAAATATCTATTTTGCACATATACATGTAAAGGCATCCACATAGGTAATGCATGAATGAACACAGAGTGTGTACACACCTAACAAACAAGAGAAGACTCTGCCCATCAGTACACTGCTTCCTAAAGCAGCAAACAGATGATAACAGCAACAAAATGACATATTTTTTCCCCCCATACCGGTACTCCTGAACACTTTTTTGGAGAGCATACTCCCTGCAATCACTCCAGATAGGTTTATGATGAATATAAATCCCACCTGCCTATCACACCCCCCCTGGCAGCTGGGCAGACAGCACTTGAAGCCACTTCCAGAGCTTGCTGCTCTCCTCAGTAGCCCAATAAGCCCCACTGAGCCTGGGCAACTTGATGCCACAGCAAAAAAAATAAAAAAATCAACGAGTATCCTCCTCTACCACCCATGAAAATCAGGCAGCCGCAGAGATCACTGCAACCCCACGGGCCAGCATGCACTTTCCAGCCAGAGTCTTTCACCAGCAGTGTGTCAGCAATTTCAAGTCATTTCCAGCTTCCTCTGGAGCTCGCAGGAGAAGCTGAGGAATCTCCTCAGATTCCAGCACACATGGAAAGGCTGTAGCACTCTCCATCACTCAAGAGCCACATATTTCTCCCAGACAGCCCTGTTGCAAGGCATGCTCAGGCAATGGTTAAGGCCACACATTCATACCTCCTCTTTTAAGTGCAATTTAAACAGATCACCTCATTTAAGCTCTGCCTTTCAAGGTATACTTCACAAGCCAACAGAGTTGATGTCTGCTTCCAAATTTCCAACAGCCCAAAGGCTTGTGGTTAGCTCAGCAGTCCCTGGGGGCTCCGGGGCTGCCGGTTACCAGAAGCTGCTATCATCAACTCATCCATCATCACCCTCTCAGATCGGAGTAGATATGCTGAACTCAAGCAGAAGTGAATAGAGGCCGATTCAAGCCGAGGGGATGTGATGCACCCTGTACTAACAAGTTAGGAGGCGGTAGTCATGGATTTATAGCACCTTGACCACTCTGCTGTAAGCATCTATCTATATGCATGCTTGTACCCTCACAACTGAAGGCAATGTAAATCTAAGGAACCTTATCCCACTTTCAAAACCATCAGGATAGGGCTCCTTGTATCCACAGGATTGCTTCTGTGCGCTGCTAACCCCGAGTTGCTCGAGATTTTCTGCTCCTCTGTGGTCACGGGGAAACTGGATCCGGGAGTGCAAATGGTGGTGGAGGAAGATGCAACACTGAAGGTTACGTGACGTGTGACCACCTCTGGGAAGCAGCACAGCTTTCCTCCTCAAACTGCTCCTCTCCCACAGTCAAGGGGTCCCTCACAGCATCAGAACTGCTGGGCACCCAGGGTAACAAAAACCAAACAGGTACGATGATACCACCAAGCGATGTTAGTACCCAAAGGAAGGAATACTATATATAAGAAGGTATATATTCACAGGAAGGTATGCAAATATAGTATATATGGTATATATTTTGTGTGTATATATATATATATAAAAAATATATTTTTCAGATTA